ACCATATACGTCTTTAACACTCCCTCATTCGGCGAAAACCGTTCACCATATATCTTAGCTTGCGTGGCCCAAACATAAAGCGAGGGGGGTTGGGCCCCTGGGACGGGATTTGAAAAGTCTCAAAATATTCATGCGCTTGACTTGCTGCGACCATCGCAAATGGCCATAGCGTTCTTGATGGTACGAAGTTCGCTAAAGAAAAACAGGGCTTGAGAAAGCGGGGGGGGTCTGGGGGGCGGCGCAGGCCCCCCCATTTGCAAACGCACTGGAAGAGGACCGGCGGTTCATCACATCTTAAGCAAGCGCCCTCATTTGTCGATTCCGGTTCACCATAGATTATGCAAAACTCTTAGACACACCCCTTTCCGGTTCACCATATATCTTTAATACGGCCCCTCAGTCGGCGATGACCGTTCACCATATATCTTAAACACGGCCCCGCTTTTGGCGATAACGGCTCATCATATCTTCAACACGCTCCCTCATTCGGCGATTCCGGTTCACCAGATATCTTTAACACGCGCCCGCATTCGGCGATAACCGTTCACCAAATATCTTGAACACGCCCCCTCTTTTGGCGGCTCCGTTTCAACATATGTCTTTAACACGCCCCCTCTTTTGGTGAGAACGGCTCGTCATCTATCTTAAACACGCCCCCTGAATTTCGGCGGTTCCGCTTCATCATATATCTTAAACGCGCCCCCTTTTGGCGATTCCGTCGTTTCGGGTGGGGGTTCTTTTTGGGTATTTTTTATGTTTTTTTTGGTGTATTTTTTACGGTTTTCGGTTCGGCGGACGCAGGACTCAGTCAGTCAGTCAACGAGCCAACCGAGCGGTCAGTCTGTCAGTCAGTCGGTCATTCAGCCAACCGAGCGGTCAGTCAGTCAGTCGGTCAGCCAGTCAGCCAGCCAGCCAGTCAGTCAGTCAGCCAGTCAGTCCGTCTGCCAACCGCGCGGTCAGTCAGTCAGTCGGTCGTCCAGCGGTGAGTCGGTCAGCCAGTCAGTCGATCTGCCAACCGAGCCGTCAATCAGTCTGGCTGTCTGTCAATCAGTCTGTCAGTCCGTCAATTTTTTGACACTCACACTCGGACAAGCCTGGCAAGGCTTGTCTCAATTATCCTCTAGTCAGTCGGGCTGTTGATCTGGTGTTGCACCTGCAACCAGTGAGCATGGGGTATCGGGGATTGGAAGGAGGTGCGGGCTAGCAGCCCGCAGCACCGGAAAGAGCCAAGATTGCCGAAAGACGGGTGGGAAGGAGGTGCGGGCTGGCAGCCCGCTGAACCGGAAAGAGCCAAGATCGCCGAAAGACGGGTGGGAAGGAGGTGCGGGCTGGCAGCCCGCAGCACCGTAAAGAGCCAAGATTGGCGAAAGACGGGTGAGAAGGAGGTACGGGCAGCACCGGAAAGAGCCAAGATTGCCGAAAGACGGGTGGGAAGGAGGTGCGGGCTGGCAGCCCGCAGCACCGCAAAGAGCCAAGGTTGCCGAAAGACGGGGGGGAAGGAGGTGCGGGCTGGCAGCCCACAGCACCGGAAAGAGCCAAGATTGCCGAAAGACGGGGGGAAGGAGGTGCGGGCTGGCAGCCCGCAGCACCGGAAAGAGACAAGATTGCCGAAAGACGGGTGGGAAGGAGGTGCGGGCTGGCAGCCCGCTGAACCGGAACGAGCCAAGATTGCCGAAAGACGGGTGGGAAGGAGGTGCAGGCTGGCAGCCCGCAGCACCGTAAAGAGCCGAGATCGCCGAAAGCCGGGGGGGGAAGGAGGTGCGGGCTGGCTGCCCGCAGCACCGGAAAGAGCCAAGATTGGCGAAAGACGGGTGAGAAGGAGGTACGGGCAGCACCGGAAAGAGCCAAGATTGCCGAAAGACGGATGGGAAGGAGGTGCGGGCTGGCAGCCCGCAGCACCGCAAAGAGCCAAGATTGCCGAAAGACGGGGGGAAGGAGGTGCGGGCTGGCAGCCCACAGCACCGGAAAGAGCCAAGATTGCCGACAGACGGGGGGAAGGAGGTGCGGGCTGCCAGCCCGCAGCACCGGAAAGAGCCAAGATTGCCGAGAGAAGGAGGTGCGGGCTGGCAGCCCGAAGCACCGGAAAGAGCCAAGATTGCCGAAAGACGGGTGGGAAGGAGGTGCGGGCTGGCTGCCCGCAGAACCGGAAAGAGCCAAGATTGCCGAAAGACGGGAGGGAAGGAGGTGCGGGCTGGCAGCCCACAGCACCGGAAAGAGCCAAGATTGCCGAAAGACGGGGGGAAGGAGGTGCGGGCTGCCAGCCCGCAGCACCGGAAAGAGCCAAGATTGCCGAAACACGGGTGGGAAGGAGGTGCGGGCTGGCAGCCCGCAGCACCGGCAAGAGCCAAGATTGCCGAGAGAAGGAGGTGCGGGCTGGCAACCCGCAGCACCGGAAAGAGCCAAGATTGCCGAAAGACGGGTGGGAAGGAGGTGCGGGCTGGCAGCCCGCAGCACCGGAAAGAGCCAAGATTGCCGAAAAACAGGTGGGAAGGAGGTGCGGGCTGGTAGCCCGCAGCACCGGAAAGAGCCAAGATTGCCAAAAGACTGGTGGGAAGGAGGTGCGGTGGCAGATCGCAGGACCGGAAAGAGCCAAGATTGCGGAAAGGAGGTGCAGGCTGGCAGCCCGCAGCACCGGAAAGAGCCAAGATTGCCGAAAGAGCAAGAGTGCCGAAAGACGGGTGTGAAGGAGGTGCGGGCTGGCAGCCGGCAGCACCGGCAAGAGCTGAGGTTGCCGAAAGACCGGTGAGAAGGAGGTGCGGGCTGACAGCAGCACCGGAAAGAGCCAAGATTGCCGAAAGACGGGTGGGAGGGAGGTGCGGGCTGGCAGCCGGAAAGAGGAGCTGCAGGCTGGCAGAAGATTGGCGAAAGACGGGCAAAGACGGCTGGGAAGGAGGTGCGGGCTGGCAGCCCGCAGCACCGCAAAGAGCTAAGATTGCCGAAAGACGGGGGGGAAGCAGGTGCGGGCTGCACCGGAAAGAGCCAAGATTGCCGAAAGACGGGTGCGAAGAAGGGGCTTGCAGCACGCAGCGCCGGAAAGAGCCAAGATTGCCGAGAGACGGGTGGGAAGGAGGTGCAGGCTGGCAGCCCGCAGCACGGAAAGAGCCAAGATTGCCACAAAACGGGTGGGCAGGAGGTGCGGGTCCGAAAAGATGCGTGGAAAGATCATGACGATGCTTCCGTTTCTGACTGCGAGGACTATTCCCGTTGTCCTTCATCGCCAGCGCTGCACACGCTGCATCAAACGGAAGGGTGATTTCGATAGCTCGCAAGGATCAAAGATGTGGCGGCGGTGCCGCGGCAGTGCGGTGCCGCTGCTCCAGCTTCTTCTTCGGACTTTTTGGTCCTCTTCTCAGCCCTACTCTACTGCCCTGCTCCAATCTTTCACGGCGCAGTGCATGCACTGAGAAGAACTGAGCAACTGGCAGCAGTTTCCATAGCGGCTGCACTGTGGAGTGCACCTCGGCGACTCGGAGTTGCAAGGGATCCGGTATGACTCACATTGGGATCACCAGGAGTTGCGCAAAGCTCGTGACTTCTTCCTTTCACAACTGTGCTTCAACAACGTAGCCCTCCCCGGGATCTTCATCATCCTTCGGAAGCCTCCAAATCCAGGCAAAAGAGGCTGGCAGGGATGCTCCCCCACAAAGTGGCCACACCCAAAGCTGGCGCAAGTTGGAGCCTTCCACGAGAAAAGCAAAGGTCCGGGCAAATAGCAAAAAATAAGTTGAGCAGCACAGCAACTGACGTGGGGTTTGAATGCATGTTCTCACCAGCCTCGCCTTGTCGAGTGTTGCAGGTCCCTCCCTCATGAGGCCCTAACATCACGACACGTGACCACTTCGGCAGCACCTGCATGTCCTGCACAGTGTCATCTTCGTTATCCTGCAGCAGAGCGGGTTAACAGCAATAAAGGCTGAACTCAGGCTGGGAAACCTGCTGTACCTGTACTGCTACGTACGTACCCCAGTACATACACATGCGACAAGAATATGTGCATGCATTGACGCACCCATCCATAGATGGGCAAGTACGTTCCTATAGGTAGTTACATGCTGGTATACGTACACCTATACATACATACATACGTACCTACATCTTTAGCATTCGCGCTCGATTGCATCAGGCGAGGTTTGATACATTTCCCAACACTACTACAGACTTCCAAGGAACAGGTACATTGCCCTGTCCAGACACATTAACAGCGACCTCGCGACCTCCAAGACCAACACCACAGTCAAAACTATCAGACTTCTCTTACCGGCTTCACTCAGTCAACGCAGTCATTCCAGTAGAACTCACCACTCAGGCTTCAGGAGAAACCTTTCAGCATTTTAGGCGGCGCCCCATCATGGGGTCTGTGTTCGAGACTGTAGGCCACCCTGATCTACCGCAAACTGTTCTTTTTTGACTCCTCACAGGAGCGCGCATGTCCTCGCGACCAGAAGCTAGGATCCTAAAACTCGAGCCAGGAACCCGGCACACAGCCGGAAACCCGATGTCTCTCATTCCAAGTTTCCCTGCTTAAGGAACTTACATATATACGACAGTGACGCTACGAGGCAGCAAAGCATGCACGAACTTCCGAGCTGCTCCAGCAGGCGCGGACTGCCTTCGCTGCCTGCCCTGCCGTCTTTCGGCCAAGCCCTGGCGACGAACGAGCACGGGAGGATTCAGCTGAGGCCCCTCGCAAAGAACACGCCGTACAACTAAATCCAAAGATCCTAGCCGAGCCGAATCCTGCTTTACAGTAAGTTTCTGAAGGTCAGGAGACGACCAACAGCGGGCTAGTGCTGGCTCCACAAGCCAGAACGGCACCCGTCTTGAAGCGCCGGCTGTCGCACAAAGTGCTTGGAAGTTATTATGTGGATATACGTGGATCGTTCTGGACTGTCGGAACATGACAGCTGCCGGATTAGCGAAGACCTGGCCAACTGTACAAGTGAGAGCGCCCCGATTTACGGGTAATGCTCAGGTTCTGACAAAACCAAGCACGAAGAGGCTCAGGCCAAAGGCTCAACTGGATTGGTATAAGCACCCTCAGCTACCTCCCGGCCAATGCAAACTGCCGCAGTCCAGAATTTCGTCGGATCCACGAACTCGTGGCACTTGAAGTCCTTCACGCACCAAACGCCGCCCTCATTGTCCATCCGAAGCTGGATCACGTAAGGAGCCCGACTCCACGAAGAAGACCTGCATCGAGACGACTTGAACACTTGCGTGAAGTCGCCATCCTTCCCAATCATTCCTCCGATGTTGATGCGTGCATGCGCCTGTTCACAAGTAGTAGGCCGCCGGAACTTTCCATGCGTGATGGCATACTTGACCCGCGAGGCAATGTCTGCAAGCGGCGTCGATGAAGCATCGAGGCATGGAATTGACAGCATGACGTAATTGCTGGTGCATGCCACTGCCCCTTCGGCATCTCCCAGCCTGCCATTGTGCACCACCATGATACGCAGCAACTTGTCGGGCAGCATCCGGAACATGGCGGCGATGATGCATGAAAGCCAGGCAATCTCCTCGCTGCATGCCATCCGCTGTCCCGCCATCCGAAGCATATCGCAAACTCCGTGAGTAAACTGCACCCCAACGCTGTGACCCCAGTTGTGGTAGTATGTATCGTTGACAGTGTCGAACAAGTACATGTCTACAGCACCCTCTTGTCCGGCAGCGCCACTCAAGTAGCGCCGCAGCCGCTGCTGCTGCACCGCCAGGATTGGATGCTCGGAGCGAGAAGGTTCCTCCCCATTGGCCAAAGCTTGGTAAGCCTCTTGCAGTGAATGCACCAAGGCGGCAATAGCTCCGCCGTCGCCGTACTTGTGCGTGATGCTGCAGTACAAAAACTGTACGATGCGCTCATCGGTCTGCATGTTGATCAGGCACATATTGAGAGCTGATGTAGAATCCCACCACGCCCAACCGGAGTCGTTCATCACACGGTAAACTTCATCAGCACTGCACTCGCAGCCCCTCTCCAAGCTCTGGGACAGCACGGGGATGTTGAAAGCGGCAGCGTCCTCGAGTATGGCAGTGCGGGGCCAGCAAAAGAACATGGCCTTTGCAACTGGCTCGCGCAGCCAACGTGGCACAGCAACCTCCTCGCAAAGCAAGGACCACGTAGCAGCAACTGTGGTAGAGAACCCGCTGCCGCAGCCCAGCTTCAAGTCGGTGCTGTCATCGAGAGGCGGTCTCGCTCGCAGCATGGGGTGCTGGCACTGCACAGTCTGCACTGCTTCATGAAGAGTACTGAGGTTCAGCATGGTGCCATCCCAGCGAAGAAGCACATCGACTTGACAGTCCCACGGCGCATTGGTAGCACCCTCCCGGTGAATCCTGGCCCCACTCCGAAACCAGCGCAGCAGCGTGCGATGAAAGCCGCCGCTGGACTTCGAAGCGGCTGCTGCAGCTGCTGCTTCAGCAGTCTCCATCACCTCAAGGCGCTCCTCCACCAGCTGCAAGAATCCAGGCTCATCTGCGCACGCCTCGCGCAGCTCGTTGAACTCAAGCGCCTCGCTGATCGGGCGCATGTGCTTCTTGAGGAGGACGGAAAGCCGGGCGATGCGTAGCGAGTCGACACTTCGGAAGTCCACGCCGGCCTGTCGGGCCAGCTGCTGCGCCAGCTGGGCTGCCGGAGTCTGGGCCACCACCGCAGCCACCTCTTCATTGGCGTGTTCTGACACATCCTCCATGAAGTTGCTCTCTGTGTCCACCCAGATCACCTCATTTCGGCCCATGCCGCTCTGCACGTGCTCCAGGTGATCCGATGGCCCGGCCCAGGGAGTGGACTCCTTCTTGCGTGCGATGGGCACCCCGGCGCCGCCCTTCTCAAGCCACTTCCATGCCAAGCCCTGAAACTCAAACTGCATGATGCTGGGCAGCGCCAGGACGAAGAGAATCGGGAAGCAAAGCAAATACCGGAGAGTCTCGACCATACTTGAGCAGTGGGCGGCCACATGCTGCATTGCCCAAGCCAAACCGCTCGGAGAAGCTCCGGGAGGCTCAGGCAGCCTCCGATTCCATGCGAAGAGCATCCAGATGCCCAGAGAGTAGGTCATTGAGGCATCGACGGGCAACAGCCTCAAGCCCAGGCCGACGAGAATCGAAGTGATCAAGCGCCTCTGCCTCGCCTTCTCCTCGATTTGCAGCCCCTTCCAGACCACAGCGCCCAAGAAAGCCGCGCCAACTACGCCACCAGCCCCAGCCCCAGCCCCAGCCGCAGCCAGAGAAGTCAGGCCAAAGGCAGCGAGGCTTTGGGTCCCTCCGAGATTTCCGGCCTGTGCCAGGGCACCGTAGCTCCAGGATACGAGGCAGAGCTGCAAGACACTTTCCTTCACGATGCCCACAAGCGCACATGCGACCGAAGATGGGCTCGCTGCCAGAAGGGCCTGACCAAGACGCAAGACCGTCCCGCCCTGCACAAGCAGGACGGCGAGAAGTGGCCGCCTCGCCAGCTTCAGGTACCACTCCACCTGCGAATCCTGTGCCCGGTGAGTTGCTGCTTGAGCTTGCAACTCCAACTCCAACTCTGCCTTCCTCTCCTCCTGAAGAAGGCTCCGCTGGACCTTCCCGGTACTCGCATTCCGCAGCATCTTCCGCGTGAAGAGCACTGGCAGCCGCAAAAAGCTCGCCTGCTGCAAGCTGTCGCGGAGGCTCCAAGCATCTCGCTCCCGCAGCTCCAGGACCACAGTGCTCCCGCCCTCCACGTGCAACGGGTCTGTGATGCACGCGCTGGCCACTGCACCGCCGTTTTCGAGCTTTAGCTCGGCAACATTGGTGGCCATGAGCACTCCACCCTTCACCTTCACGGTGCCACCACCTCGGCCCACACTGATGTAACGATCGCCTTGCTTCTTCATGATGTCCTTCGGCACTGCGACCCAGGCACCATCAATCACCTTGAACATGTCTTGGCTGAGGGGTCCCGAACCAATCGTCACGGATCCGTCATCGAGGCGCTCGACGTAGCCAGGCGTCACCTGCGGCCCGGCAACACCCAGCAAGCCCGACACCTCTCCTTGGGAGGCCTCGATGGGGGCGAAGCTCTCGTCGAGGAGGTAAACCTTGGCTCTGCCGAGCGGACGCATCGCATGGGCGCTGCGGCCGTCGCTCGTTGCGGTCTCCAGATTGCAGGAAGCGAAGGTCAGGAAATACTCCGTAGCAATGAGCAGGTCGGCCATGCGCACGCCGGCTGCCTTCCACATGGCGCCCAGCTCCACATCACAGCGCTCTGCCCAGCTGAAGATCACCCGGAGACACGGAGGGAAGTTCTTCGCGCCCGGCCAGAGATTACTCAACTGTGAGGGAAGTGCCCCAGAAACTGTAACTCCACGGGCTCCCCAGTCCGGATCTGTGGGCTTCATAAAGACGATACCCATGCGCATGGCCAGGGCAACGTCGACCTCCCCGAAGTAGGCAGCGCCCCACCAACCCATCTCATGATCGATTCGCCATCGGTCCTTGTGCGGATCAACCCGGTACCCGAGCTTGCCGAAGAGCTCTGGATACCCTTCTGTCTCGCTGTAGGCCATGAGGTTTGACAGGCACACGCACTTCGATTGCCCTGTGCTGCCGGATGTGAACATGTAGGCCAATGCATGTTCTGTCGTGCTCGGCACATCCTCGTAATCCCCGATCTCATCCGAGGCCAGGATCTCCCGCGCTGAAACAACCTGCAACGCCGGCCGGTGAGCTTGAAGCTCCGACACTAAGGGTGAGTCGGTAATCACTGCCACCGGCTCGAAGAGGGCCATTGCTTCCTGATATCGTTGGAGCAGCTGTGTCCTGTTGCCGTGGGTGATACTCAGGGGTAGTACAGGGAAGCCCTGGCGCAGAACGCCGAGGACGAGGATCAAGGACTCAGCGGCGTGAGGCAGCATCACAACCATGGGGGCCGGTGCGCCCACGATGTCCCCAAAGCATTTCGGATAGACGCTTGAGGGGCTCCCTGTCAGTCCTAAGGACCGGAGGGCCACAGCAACGGCCTTGGACCTCCGGGAGAGCTGCGCCCAGGTAAGGCTCAGCGAGTCATCCGTCACGGCCAGGCAGTCCGGCAACTCGCGGCCCAGCTCGTCCACTCTTGCTGGCCAGCTCCAATTCAAGACGCCTGTCTTGCCTTCCAGGTCCGTGGCATCCATGGCGGGCAGGTCGTCTGATCCTCCTCGAAGGCGCTTGTAGGGCCGGCTGGGGCTGCGAGGCGAGGGCGGCGCGCGGGACATGGCGGGGCAATGGACAGCTTCGAGACTGCGGCTTGAGCCGTAGCCATACATGCATGCATGCAAGCACACACACACACACACACATGCGCAATCACATTCCAGGCGCACAAATTCGGACATCTCATTATTACACTACATGGTATTGTACCGCTTTGGGTTTGCTTTGCCTGACATTGAAAGCAACGTACTAACATTATACATTCTATCACATCCAGTATACGCGTGCATATGATGTACTATATTAGCATATGCATATACAACCTCTGCCTTGATAGATAGAGGTCTCAACCGCTCTTCCCTGCAGTCCCAGACCTGGTCGAGACCTAGCCGCTTCCCACGAAGCTGCCGGAGAGACACGTCGCAGTCACCTGAAAGATTAAAGGGGCTTAGAAAAGGTCTACAACACCTGAAGCTCAGGTTTGTGTCAGTTTGTGAGGGTTTAGAGCCTCAGAGTCACCTGAAGTTTCGGCGCTCACACTCGGACAATCCAGGCGAGGCATATGGTTCGGCGTCTGCTGAGTGAAACGAACCTAGAGGGAGCATATCAAGCATATCCCTACACACATCTAGATAACACCTAAACTGACTGTAGCATGGCAGTGCAACTCCCATCTCGAGATCCTGCGTCACCTGAAGCTTAGGTTTAAGGTTCATAGAGCAGTTATATGAACAGGGTTTAAGGCGAGGGTTTGTGCTAGGGATCTTTGAACTAGCCTGCTTAGCCATTTGCGAAGGATTACATATGATTATATCAGGAATTTTGGTTCCTGCATTGCTCGACTTAAGGATTCGTGGGATTGTGTTCACCTGCCGTAGAGACAGGACGATGGCAGGGTGGTAAATCAAGCAAAGTGTCTGTACTACATGGCCATGCAAGGGGAAAGCACGTCGCGATGACTTTGGGACAACAGGTCGCTGAGTGAACGTTTTGCCTCCTACCCAGCAAGCAACGTTCAAGCCTTACACTGGCTTTCAAGGTGATTTCAGCGCTTCAGAGTGTCGAATGTCAATGTGATTGTCACAGTTGAAGCCACGGTGGAACCGTATCGAATTCGCATGACAATCGTATGAAGTTGCATCAGAGAAGGGAGATTAAAGATACGACTTCCATGCCCCACTCGCCCAAGGACCATCTCCCCTGCCACGAATCTCGAAGCCGCTCGACCGCGAGCCCCAGGCCTTAACCCTGAACCGTAAAAAGGCTTTAACCAATACAGAACCGTAACCGCGTCGTAACGACATGAAGTCACCCCCTTCACAAGTCACTATAAGGAGACCCATCGTTCGACCCGGCTGAAACTGGCTACGATAGTGAGTGGACCTCGCTTGGCTGGAAGAACTCCAACCGCTAACAGCGTGCGCAGTGAGCCCCAACTCTAAGTACGAAGCAGATCTTCAAGCTACAAGCCGTAGAGCCGTAATCCTCCCGCCTGACTCGCACGTCTCAGCATCGAGAGCATCGTCCAATGCGACGGAGGGGATCTCGCCCTTATCTGACAGCGCGGTCTCAGCTCAAAGCCTCTTTAAGCAACACAGACTCCCAAGGTGTGCAAAACGTGGCCCAGTGTGCAGGTTCACAGATTGGGGCCGCAGGCAGAAACGGTCCAGCTGGCCAGGAGGATCGTCCAGCGCCACAGCAGCATGCCTCCCACTCTCGGAACTCTCAGAAGCCACCTGCTTTGAGGCGCAGTCTACTCCCAAACCCTTTCACCTAACAAAGCGTCGGATGCGGCTGCAGATCTACATGGAATCGTAGCAGTCGCACTCTGGAGTTTCTTCCGCTCGATTGACATCGAGGCTGCGGACTTCAAGGCTTTGGACATAAAAAATGTTTAGAAAGTCTCGTGTTGGCACAGCTTATCCGCTTAGCCTTTTCTCTCTCTGGGGACTCCGACTCCTGCGGCCGAGCAGCTGACTCAAAAGCTTTTGGCAGGATGGAGGAAAGTGTCTTGAGCCCGGCAGGTAAGGCGGTAAGGCGACGGGCGTCAGTGTCAGCTTGGCAGATCTATGCGCTGTGGCTTACCGCTTCTGCAGTTTCTGCTGCTGCTGCGGCTTGCCAACTCGAAACCTCAGCCCTGACAGTGCAGGGCAACCCTGAAACGGTTGCTTCGCAAGTATTGGCAGGTGGTGCAACATTCCCCAGAAGCTGAATCCACAGAAGCCTCCTGAAACCTCGACCTTGCACTGGGACCCAAAACTGAGGCTCCGTCCCTCTGGGTGTGCGTTGGGGCAGTCACGCTTCTTGCATTTTTTGCCGAAGCGACAAGGCCTCGGATCTCGAAGGGCCCTGGATCGCTGGTCCCTGCTTCCCCACACGGGCGCCCCCCTAGCTCCCACCGGCAGAAAGCTCCTGGGAGAAGCTTCGACAGGAAGACAGGAGGAAAGACGGGAGGGGGGCCCTTGGGCCGGCGGGCCAGGGCCCCGAGCTGCGTTGCTTTGAGCTGGAGGATGCGCTCCTCTTCACGCTGCCTGAAAGGAATCCGAGGAGCTTTGCTTTGGGCCCTTTGGGTCTTAGGTTCCTCCTGGTCCTATGCTCTTTTTCAAACTCTCTCAAACTCTGGCCTTTAAGGTTTCAAGCTGTCGCCATGCTCTGGCTCTCGCGAGTTCGGAAGCTCACAGGTCTCACGCAGCTCTACCCTACAACCGAAGTCTTCCCAGGAGCCTTTGACAACTCACCACCAGCAGCACCCATCCACCCCAAAGCAGTTGCTAAAATCCAACTCCCAAGACTCAGCATCTCATCTAAAATGCACGTGCAAAGCCCCAAGCGCGGGCACGTGCTACCGGAGAGGGGAGGCCAACCATACATGAACCTCTGAAGCACCGGAACCTCCGGTATCCAGCCTCGATTTCTCGAATCGAGCACAATCCTCTTCTATTGCTGCCTCAACAACCTGCTACGAATCCATCAACATGCGGCGTGCGAGCGGAAGCGCCTCCGTCTCTCTTCTACTATGTCCTGGCAGGCTCGGCGATGTCTTAGCTCGACAGGAAGAGAACGCAGGGCCCGGGGCACTTAAAGACTTAAAGCCTTCAAGCCCCACAGCCGAAGCCTAGGCCTAGGCGGTGACCCTTTTCAATTCGAGCTGTCTGCATTCCGCAGAGGCTTCATCCGGCCCGGAAAAATCGAAATGGGAGGCCAAGCCTACTACCTGTTCAGGGGAACATGTAAGAACATCTCCAAATGAATCGAAGATCAGGCCCAACTTATTTCGAAGGAGCCCGGTAAACAGCAGACACAGCGTGCAGCCCAAACTCCCGCAAACCCTGCAGCCTGACAGCTTTATCCCCGCCACTGACCCGAGCCCTCCTCTGGGATCGCGCCGAACCCTGGTGGGAGCCGAATCGGCGCCCCATCATCCGAACTGGGCCGCCGCGCTGCGGTTTCCGGGCTTCGGATTTAGACCGGTTCGATGCTCAAGCGTTGAACGTTCCTCGTTCACCAGTAGCAACAGCAACAGCAACAACAGCAACAACAGCAGCAGCACCACCAGCAACAGCAAAAGCAACAGCAAACGCAACTGCAACCCCAACGGCAATTAGCCACAGCAGCAATTACCAGCAATAAAATCTGGTCTGCTCCTACCATCACGCATTCATCATTGACTCGCCAGTGTATCAATGTCGACATGCAAACGAATTTTAACTCTTGACATGCATCACGGCAAAGCCAAGGCGCTCGGAGTCATCTTCGAGCTTTCCTGTCGGGTGCTTCTCTCACAAGACGCTGAAGATTTCAAAGCTGCTGATCCGGATCGATTGGGTTTAGGCTCTGAACTCGGACTTGAAGCTGACAATCGTCGATTGGGGTGGAGTGAGATTAGACTAGAGGTTGAAGAGCGGTCCTCCTACACATGCAGAAGCCTGAACAATGAGACTAGATCCTCGGAGGCATTTATGCTGTAAGAAAAAAAGGAAACCTCGGGGAATTCATAACGCGCCCGACTTACTGGGGCTCCCCGCGCTTCACTCCTTTGAGAGTCGGGGGCTGGTCGCCGATCCCTTCCTCACCAACTCCAAGGAAGGTGGCTAAGGGCTTTGAGCCTGTCGTGTTCTTATAGGTGCTTCAGTCTTGCCTAGCCCAGCTGGGACGGAGCCTGCATGGCTCAGGGTTTCGGGGTAAACGGTTCGGTTGAGGGCACTGTGCATTGAGCTTGTTGATTGTCTTGCAAATCGGATCCTCAGAAACTGCCAGTGTGAAGGACATGGCTATAGATCACAAAACCTGGTACTCCATCATCATACATTTTCACCGGAAAGTCACCACTACTTGCCTTCCCCCCTTGGCGACAGATGGGAAGATTCGTGACCACGGCCGGAGACAAACCCCAAGCAACATCCCAAAGCCTTACGGAGCCCCAATAAGTTATCTCCTAACTTACGTTTTCGGGATCTCAGCATTTCGAGCTTCAACCCTCAACCCGAGCCTGTTTCGCGAAGCGTGGCCGAGCACTTTGGGACCTCGCCAAGAGGAGCCCAAAAAGTATAACTACTTTACTATGGGGAAGAGGAGTCATGCAAAGTGAAGTAAGGGAGCCTCTGGTGGATTTATCCGGCGATACCCAAGCCAATGCATGTACAAGGACTGCAGCAAAATCATCGAATACGTCACTTTTGGCATCCTGCTGGCTCGGTACTTTACGGTGGCATCAGGCTTGAAAACCTGGACATCTTTGACAAACGAAATCGACAAAAGGTGTCTGAGCAGGCAACAGCTCAGTCTTCACCTGGCGCGACGGACGGACGTCAAGCGTCTCACAGCAACTCCTGCCTTCTGGTGGGCAGCTTTCCGTCGGTAGGTCCCACACTCAAGCCGATGTAGAGTCCAAGGATGTCCCCATGCATGACATGCGATGCCAGCCGCGAGAACCTCAACAAACACCTATCTCCGGTTGTTGTGCTCTTGAAGTTCTCGCATAGACCGCTGATGTTTTGAGCAACAGTTCAAGCCTCTCTCGCGAATAGGTTTCGGGGGGCAGTTTGTAGCGCAACTATCTCATGGAAGTACTGCACGGGATTCGGATTACTAAATACCCAGACCCCCCCCCCCACCTGTATAAATACGCCGATACATGACTCAATACAGAACATGACCTAAAAACAGTCTCTGTAAAGTCTATAGCTCCCTTAAAGGAACCCTTATATATAGTGCCCTTTAAAGGGAGCCCTAACCCCCCCCCCTTTTTCCCGTCTCTGAAGCGTGTCAGCCCGGCCCTTGCCATGGCTTTAAGAGCCCGGCAGCGGGGAGCCGAGGCCCGAGGCCCTGGGCCAACGCAGCCCCTGAGATCGGGCTTTTCATAAGGTTTTTGATTATGATTCTAGTTTTTAGTTATTTATGATTATAGTACATAATTATGATTATAGTATATAGTTATTATGATTATAGCATATAGTTAAAATAATGGTAGCCTAATTATTTATGATCACAGTATAGTTACAGTAGCCATGATTAGTACCATGGGCTTCAGGGGCCACCTCAGGGATAAAGCATAGGGAGTCTTGATTGGAAGTTTCCGAAAATAGGGGCACCTTGTTTTGGGGTCCTTATAATAAGGATCCTACTATTTAGGGTACTATATCAGGGTCCCCTATTTGCGGAAACTCCCTATTGTTGCTCTTCTTTTGGGAATGGGAAGGGGAGCTAGGGGCTGGGGCTTACAGTTGAGGGTGCTGACTGGGAAGTTCTGAGATCTCAGGGTTGAGACCTCTTGCGATTGTTGGTGGGGGGAAGGACTCTGGGCTTAGGAAAGTTGCGAATGTCCGTGAACTGTTGACCCTTCCTGAACATCAGAATATGCACATTTCAGGAATACTAAAAATTCATCGCTGTTGGTCCAAAGGGTTGTTTCAAGAATGAAACAGTGGAACTTTCACGAACAAAACAGATTATAACACTTGGGATCCAGCAGATCTTCGAACTGACACTGACGTTTGATCCAGAACTGTTGATTCGATAATCCTGACGCTGATGACTCCACATATGATGTATATCAACCCGACTCTCCCCCGTCCCCCGCTCGCCCTCCGCGTGCCTCTCTGGGGAGGCCAGGCCCCAAAACCCTTCTGCTGAGCCAGATCATGTACTTGAAAGGATATGGGCTGCATGTGGGGAGGAAGGATGATAGGCCGGCTTGAGCAAGGGAGGGTCATTTCCCAGTTCATATCACCTCACACCCCTATACCCCCCCCCCCTACGCTTTTACACCATTTCTGAAGCCACCTGCTATTCCAAACCTTATACCAAAACCCCGAAATCATAACCACCACCCAAATACTGTACCTTACCCATGATATAACCAATATCCTAACGATGAACTGCTTCGGTAGAAGACCTCGCGAAGCTTCGCGACCTGATAAAGCCTACAACCTCCTTCCCCCACACCTCACATCCTATACCCCCCCTACACTTTCACCGCCTAACATTTCAACCCTTAAATCCCACAAAACACAAAGCACCTTCCAAAACCAATACAATAATCCCGAAAACAAAGCAACCCAACAACAAATACAATTATCCAGAACACGACCCAAAACCCAAAGCACCTAAACAATCCATAACCTTATCCATAAAATAGCCAATATCCGAATATGAGGTGTGGGTAAGACCCTAATAGAAAAACCTCAGAAGACCTTAACCCTGAACTGGGGGATGTCGGACTCCCTCATTTTGGTCACGAGCGCGCTGCTCCACTTCACTTCGGAAGGTTCTGTTCAAAGCACACAACCCATTGCTCAATCTTGTCAGTCATCTCTGACTGTGTCACTGTCTGTTTAGTCTTCCAACCCCTATCAAACTGAAACTGCGGAACGACAAAGAAGAATTTGGCTTTCCCCTCATGCTTCTTGCTAAGTGCATCCACAATCTTATACGCCTGCGTCTTGGTCAGGTCTTTGTTCTGGCCACTGTCATGGAAGGTGATGTCATGTCTATCGGCAATCGTCAGCTGAAAGACGCCCTCTGAGGTCCATGAGTCAAAGGCTGGAAAGTTTTTGCTCTGCGGTTGGTAACACTTGCCATCCTCGATGTCTGGTTTGCGATTAATCAGCACTCCTTCAAGACCACCTTGGAGTTCCTGTGTTGTTTCAGCTTTACCGCCAGCTGTCAAAATCTGGCTCGGAGCTTGAACTTGCCGATGGACTTGTCCTGCATGAACTGGTGGAACTCTTCCTCAAACAAGGCAAAACCGATGCCCGTCATCATCCCGTCATCAATACGATCCCAAAGAGCTTGGGCTCGTTTTGTTCTGTTTTGCTTCACCAGCTCTTGCCGAACATAGGGAGACGACAACTGCACATCAAACCAGCTGAACTCCCGCTTTGGGTGAATCTTCACCAGCAAATGCGTCGTCTTGCTTATGGCTTTCATGTCAGACGATACTTTCAGACATTGCAGGGCATCTGCGGACTGCACGGCCTCTACGAGCCTTTCCTTGTCATTGACTGCCCTTGTCTCGTCCCTCTCCAAAACAAGCCTCGCAGTGCCACCAAAAATGCCAAAGCGTTCCTCGACAACCGACTCATTCAGCTCGTGTAAGTCCATGACCTCTGCATTCAGCATCTCCTTCAACGTCCATGGTGGCATAAAGAACTGCCCAGAGAAGCGCTCGGCCTTCTTAAAATGCTCGGCTTTAGAAGCTGGGGTCTCGGGCCTCCGCGCAGATGTAATCCACAAAGACTGGCAAAAGACCCCATGTTCCACATCAATGTCGGCATCCATGATATACAAAGCTTGTTGAGGGGCTGAATACAAAGTATCAGCATCGACCTTCTTTGGCTCTTCGCCCTTCTGAAACCGATGGATGATGTCGCTCTGGTGCAGAAAAGCAGGGAACTCTTTCAGCTCATCATCGTGGAAGCGACGCCAGATTAAATATACCATAAAATTGGACTTGCCGATACCTGATGAGCCCAGCAAAGACATCCTATGAGGCTTCCTTTTGAACATGATGTCGGCAATTTCTGTGTAGCACCCCCGCACGTAGAACTGCTTCTCGTCCCAAATTTCAGAGTCCTGCTCTAACTTGAAACTGCCCGTTTCCGTTTTCAGAATTTGCCCGTCCAGCTCTGCATCATCCAAAGCTCGCGCGAAGGCCTTGACATTTTCGGGAACATCGCTCTGAACCTGAAACCAAGCAAAGCAACCACAGAAACATAAACCCTGCTTCACATGTTAAAAGAAAAGACACAACAAACTCGGGCTACGACTAAAACTCATTTTTGCCAAGAAACGGGTTGTGGTTGGGCAATATCCTTCTGAATGCGGTTGAACAGACCCCTTGCTGCTGCTCGTGCGATGCTCTCGTCGATCTTGGCTGTTGTCAGATCGGACGCTGTATTTTCATATGACATCTCCATCAGCACCGGCCTTGTGAAAGAGGCAAAGACATTTGCCACCTTGTTGGCGATGTCTTCATCATACTCCAGATCACACATTTGCTCCCGAATCCAGTTTGGCATCTCATTGCGCTCCAAGTCCTTCAACAGAATTGAATTCGGCGGGAGGGCAGCGAACTGTAAGGTTCGCGCTGCGAAATGCCAAAAGCAGAAGAAATAGCAAAGAAGCACATAGCGCCGAGCACGAGCATTGCGCAAGGCAATCATTGCTACAACAAAAGTCTTGAAACGCAACAGCTCGTATTCCTGCAACAGCTCTTACGACTCCTGACTTTGAATCATGATCTTACTTGAAGCATAAGTGCAGTGCAATTTGATATTGTTGAGCCTCAACCACAGTGATGGCAAGCACTGGAAGCAACAACACATCAGCATGAACAAGCCTTACACCTTTAATAATTCGTGCCTCAAATAACCCCTCTTATCATCATCTAAATAGTAATAGTTTTGCCCTAATTTCTTATCTATTCGTTTTACTGTTTGGGGTGGATTTTCAACCAATGACTGGTGCGTTCTTTTTCACTAATGCCTTTTTTCCGCATTATTTTAACACTATCGCCCACCTCTACCTCGGGGTATGTTCTATTACGTGTTGCCTGTAAAAAAAAAATATTTTAACTTCAAATTCATTTTTCGGGAGTTTTGCTTGGGACGGGGTGAATTTAGTAGTAGAATGAATGTGTTTGTTATTATATGTAAGCAAAACCTCAAATATATAATCCGTCCATTGTATGTTAGTTTTTCCTTTCTTTTCATCGGCTTCTATCCTTGTATAAAAGGCATCTTTGAAAGTTCGTATCCCGCGCTCACTGTATTGAGCATGTCCTCTGGTTCGGTGATGTTCTATATTATGCTCCTTCAAATATTCTTGTATAGATTTAGTGTTTAACGCGCCTTCATCATCGGTATATAAAAGCTTTGGAGTTCCACGCATTTTTGTAAATCCTTCAATTAAAGCACTCGCTACATCACCTTCGTTTTACTTTTGATTGGTATAACAACCATAAATGTTGAAAAAGCATCTATCATCAAAGAGCCCACTTTAAACTCTTCTGGTCTGGTATATCATTTATAAAGAAAAAATCAAACTGGAATTCGTGAAAAGCTCTTGGAGGGATATATGAGTTTTGCCCCCTCATTTTCCGTTTCTCTTCAACATTTTCTTAAAGAACCCTTCAACATCTTCTTTTGTAATACTGGCGTCCTTTTCCTTACTGTCTTTTAATGTTTGGGCTCTACTCCCAAATCCCGAACGGTCATAATAAATATTGCTTATAATATCTTGTTTAGAAGTCATTATAATAAACAAGATATTATTTTTCTTCTTCGAACTGTTTTAAATATGTTTGGTGTTTCTGTGATTTTTCGTGTCGCTTCTTATGCTCAAATGTGTAATATTTGCCACATCCGCACAAATGCCTCTCTGATAGTATATGCTTCATTTTCTCGTAGCGTGTTCTCCCTTCCTCTTGTCTTTTTTCTGGGTGTAATTCTCTGTAAATCTTCTTTTGAAAGCAAATATAGTCATTCTCATCTTTATAATGTTCTTTTCTTGTCCTACCAGCAATAACTTTGTTGATACAATCCTCGCCCTTTATGATATGTCCTTCTTCTCTCTCTAATTCTTCTCTGCCATTACAAGGAAAGCTCTTTATCAACAATATTTTACAATTTTCAACACCAAATTCATCAAATAACCAATACGACCGTGTGTTGTCAGCACCACCTCGTAAATACTCTTGGTATTTGCTTCTGTGTCTTTCAAACCGCTTTTTCAAGCTTTCAGTTGTGCTTCCAATATACTTTTTCGTCATAGCAATATCTGTAATCATATAAGTTTTTCCGTTTACCTCTTCATACCTCTATTTACCTATACCCACCATTTCCTTAAACCATTTTAATGTGCGGACACGTTACAGTAAAAGCAATGAGCGCAACAATTGTCTAAATGATGTCCGTAATCATTACATATTCGCTGTGTTGTAAAGTTGCTACATAACTTGCGTTGCTTGGTTTCAAAATTGAATGCTGTATTACATTTCTCGCACCTGCTCATAAACATTTTCAAACACCATTCGGGAGTGATGTATTTTGCTTCATCTATTTCTCTATGACTGCTTCTATCTTGTGCCTTATAACCTTCTATTTTGTGTTTAATTTATCTCATTATCATATTCTTGTCCATTTGTTTCTCAAATGTTGGATTGTAATAGAACTTCACTTGTTTAAAATCAACACATCTGGTTATAGCACAATACAACCATTCTCTACTCGCCATTGGTAAGTTGTATTCGTGTATAGTTATACTTCCCTTTACACTCGCCCCTCGACTTGAATGACAAGTGGCGCAGTATGAGTAAATAAAATTAGCATCTACAATAGGTTCATATAGCATAAACTTATCCTTTTCATTCGTGATATTCTGTAGCGTTATTTGCGACCCTCGTTCGTCTTGCATCATACTCACGATTTTATACCTTATATTCACATTCACTCTTGGTGTTTCAATCCACTTTCTGGCAATCAGTATTTCGCCCACTTCGTATGGGAGCAAAGGACAGCATTGAAGGAGATAAAAACAGAGAAATCATTAAACCTATGTATGAAGACTTTTGGCAAAAAGAGTTGCCGGTTGAGGAGATTATACCGAAGGATTTTGAAACAACTGACGACATAATGGCATCCGAGCATAACATCGCATACACTAACATAAGATGCCGAAATGTAGCAAATGAAATTAGAAGCAGGTTAAACAAGAAAGACAAAATAGTTAAAAATATGTTGTATTCAAGCATTGTATTCAAGCAGTCGTCTATGTATGTTGCTGGATTTTGGCAGTTTATCAGAACTTCTACTCCTTGTAATTGTTTAACATCGCCTGTCGCAACAACCATTTTATCAGGGTTGTTTTGCATAAACAACCTTACTTCATTTAAGACATATAGGTTAGACATATAAATTTCATCCAAAACGATTATGTCATAACTGCTGTAATCAAAAGATGGCAGTTTCTCCCCCGCATCTTGCTGAACTGCTATGCTAAAACACTTATTGTATGTCGTTGCTTCTACTTCTTTCTCTTGTAAAAGTCTGTTAGTTGGAACTACAAACAAAACCTTATAACCCAGTTTTTGGAAGGGCCTAGATAACTCTTGCCACTACCGGCGAAACGAGCACGAATTAAGCACTTGCCCCCACAATCTATAACTTGCTTACATATCGTGTGAGTATCCCACTCGTCCTCTATGCTAAGTCCTTCATTTTTAGGTTGGGGAACAACAACCAACTCATCATATTTGAGTTTGTAATCGTCGGTCGGCAGTCTTACCCGTTTAGATTTTTCAACTCTCCGCCCTCCGATTTTGTGTTTCTCTTCTTCAACCTTCAACAGCTTAACAGACGCTGAAACAATTGGCGAAGCATTGCGTGTGGAGGGGCATGCAATTTTCGAGAAAGGAGATAACCTCCAACTAAAAGGATTCTCACCATATAGTATAGATCCGGCAGCGCGCCAGTGCGCGAAAAAGCTTGTAGGCTCACTTTTAGCTTCCGTCCAGCCTGAGTTCAAGCGTTGATAAGGCTACTGTCTTTGCCCTTTGCGAGAGCAGGCTGCAGGGCCCTTGGGCTTCAAGCATTGAGCTACCAGCTTCGCGTCAACTGCGATGGTAGCCTTTTCGTTTCATCCCCGTAATGAGACGACTCGGCTGGAGCCTTGCACGTCACCTTGAAAGGCTGACCTGAGCTGAGCAGGATGCTGGTAGGAGGGCTACACAGACGACGGATTGCGTTTAATGTCTACTGTAAGTAGGTTTGAATAGTATGCAGCTACAAAACCTACAGGGACGTACGGTTTGCGGGATGCCCTAGCGAAGATAAATTCGTGTGCAGAAGGGCCCCCCAGAAGGGCCCCCAGCTACATGCACTAAGCATTCCTCAACGACTCGGCCGTCTGTGGAAGGCCTCTGATGGCAGAGTCATGAATCTGTCTAATCTATGGCGGTGGGTTGATGCAACCTACCAGGTGAACCGGAAGCTTCCGAAGCTTCCGACGGGATAAGCCACCTTTGAGGGGAGCAGCTCCTGACTTTCTGACCTTGAACCGACCTGCAGTCCCAGAAACTCCCTGGTACAAGTAGCCTCAATAAGCTTGGGGTTCAGTTTTCGTTTGAATCTTGCGGCTTCGGTTTCAGCGGTTTTCGGGTCCCTGACGTCTTCATGTAGGCCTTCGGCAGAAGCTGCTGTAGAATGATACTTGTAACAAGCATGCCAGTCCAGCTCGAGAGGCTAGGCTTCTTCGCCGAATCAATGTATTTGACCTGGCTGTGGGAGGGATTGGCTCTCCGTGGTCTGGGGCTCTGCGGCTTAGCGATGTGTCGAGTTGGCAACTTTATCAGCTACAATCAGCTAACATGATACAGTCAGGCCGACCCTGCAAGCGACCAAGCCTGTTGGATCTCAAGGCCTTCGTACCAGCCGTGCAGTTTCTGATTCCGAGTCGTCAGACGTGCTGCATAGGGCCCCCAAAAAGGGCCCCAGCCTATCCCACTCTCACGCTGCTCACGCTTCACAGACCAGCCGCCTGGCCGGAACCGCCGACCAAGGTGAGGCCATAGAGCGCCTGGGAGGCTCCGCGCCGCAGGCGATTCAATCCAATTGTTTTACAATGTGCAAAGCTCGTGGCTGGAAGGCTTGAACGTGGATTTTGTTGGGGCTTCGAGGCTTTGATCTTCTGGTGCATTGCTGCATCTGAAGGCAGGTCTTTCCCTAACTAAGCATTCGAATCCCGACTTCGGAATTGCCTCAGCTATGTGGGTGGTTGTCAAAAGAGGGGTCCCTTTTTGGGAACCTTAAATATTAATAGGAGCCGAATTATAATAGGGACCCAAAAAGGGACGATAATTGTGACAACCACCCATGTGGTTCCGGGCTTTGGAAGGTGTGGGGGTGGGGAGACCAAGGGTCTGCATGAAAGTGTGCACGGTTGAGAGCACACGGGGGATTCTTCGGGGTAGCCGAGGGCAAGGATTTCCTAAAAGCCTTTCGAAAAGCCAACCACCAGAATTCTTCGAGTTGCCTTGTGGCCACTCGTTCATGACCACACCACAGGACAAGCGGTTCACAATAAGTATTTACTGAACAGGCCCACTGCGTAAGCCACAATGGAGGTGTCGTTTCTGCTTAAAGAAACCAGGGAAAGCTTCCGCTGCGCTAAGGTCCGGGCAAATTCGCAGTCTTCCTGGATCCAGGCGATGTACCAGTCAGTCACTAATCAATAATGTGTCTACCATCCAGAGCTTGGGTGAGTCTACGAAAGGCAGGATGGAGCTTGCAACCCTTCCCCACAACTGTATCACTGTGTGGACCCCAGATTAAAGACGAAAGTTTGGATTCCCTGGTCCCATACTCCCAGGATGAACGCTTCGCATCGGCATCCCAATTGCGCGCCCCGCAGGTGAAAGGTGAAAGCATCAAGCGATTCCTTTCTTTTGCAATCCGCCGAGGCCACAGGCCCAGGCGTCTTGGGGGTTAGCTCAGGTACCCTCCACCTAATCCTCCTCCCTCCGGTCGAAATGTTTGGGGACACCCGTTTTTTGCGTTCGTTTGCCACCCCCTTGCCCGGCTTCCCCTCATTTTACCTGATTTGTCGGCCTCCTCCGCCCCCTTCCAGGCCTCCCCCCCCCCTTTCCTCTCGCCCCCCCCTCCCCCCACCCTCCCCCCTCCCCCTGTGCCGATACACCCCCAAGGATATGCTCCTTGTTAGGAGGTGTATGACCAGTTTATTCCCTAAGGATCAAAGGGCAGCGCCCTGCACACGGACAGTAGTTGTTTTGTCTTGCTACGCAAGGAGAGCTTGTCTTGTCTCAATATGGTAAAACCACTGTGAGCCAATGGGCAGCGGAATGTATATGTATGAGCATGCAGCCATTGCTGTAGGTACCTGTTAGAGCTACCCCTTTAGAGGTTTATGGTTTCAAACAGACACTAATTTTCTTTTACCGGAAGCATGGCCGCACATTCACACATATACTATTATGCCCACTGTCACAGTTGCGGAGTCTGGACTCATGATGAAAACAGCATATTATTTAAGCTAGGTATAGCACTGAAGTACACTGCTGAGGACACTCCTTTTGCACACACTCATGCATGTTGGTCAGAGAGATCGTCTGTACAAGATCATGTCTGGTGATATTTTCTACATCGAATTATGCAGCCCTTCACTTTGCTCTTGTTAGAGCTTTGTGAGTCACTGTTGTGAAACTCCGAGATTTTCCTTATCTCAGATTTGGATCCAGGTTTGGATCATAGGCTCGAGCGTAGACGTTCGGATGTGGCTCATCCGGGTCTGAGTGATCTTCTTCGGAACTTGAATAAATTCCGAGTAGTCTGTTCTCAGCCCTGGTGAAGGCGGCGTCTGCAGTATCATATCCATGGTTGGATGTTGTCGCCTTTGGCTCGGCCTTTGGCGCAGCTTGTGAGCTGACTGGAGTTGCCTTGGCTTTAGCCGGTTGTGGCTGCTTAGCCTTTGCCCGTTCAGCCCTTCTTCTTTCAAGCTGTCCGTCTGAGGACGCCCATGATCTTTCACTTTCATCTCCTGAAGGAGATAAGGCGTGGGCATAAAGGCTATTCCAGTACTGTGCTGCAGAAGGAGTTAGGACTTCTTCATTGTCAGATTCTGACTGGTCTTCCTCAGAGCTTTGGTCGTCAAAGAGTGTCTCGAGGACATTTTTGAGATTGTTATTTCTTCGCTCTATCTCTAGTGAGGAATGGACCAATTGGTTAAAGACTGTCCTTGAGTCCTTCAGTGCTGTTAGAAGGATTTCCACTCTGGATAGAGTATCTTGGATGGTGTCAAGATGTTCCTTCCTTTCCTCCTTGTCTCTCTGGATAGAGCTTCGCAATGATTGTGCGATTCTGAGGAGGTCTGTGTATTTCGTAAGAGGCATAGTTACCGTTTGATTGTCATGTATGACAGTTGTTTCGTCGCCGCTTAAGTTCCTGAATAGGACTTCCACGACTGGTAGAAACTCCGTGCTCCACGGTTCCTCTTCATCATATGTTTCTACGTGCTGTAGCACGCGTTGTGTAAACTGATCGGCTGCTTCTACCGTTGCATCGATAGAGCTGACGTGTCTTGCTGCCATGTTTCGGCACGTAATGTTAATTGCCTGGCCTTGATTGGCTTCGTTAAGTGCAGCGTCTGCATAGGTGCAGAGTCCACTGTTGTGGGCTTCTCTGGCTGCCTTTCGTTGAATGCGCCGATTTTGACCTCCTCTTCTGGTAGGACCTTTTGGTCTCGGAGGATCTGAAGGTACTGTTCCTTTCGCCTTTGGCGGAGGACTCTTAGGTGGAGGTGACATGTTTGCCTTGTTAGGCACTGGTGGCATTGCCTTGGGCGCTGACGACGATGCGGCACTTGAGAGTGCAGATGTACCTTTGGCTTTTGCCGAGGATCCCTTGGGGATCGATGTATAGGTAATCTGCATGGCTTCTTCGGCCATTTGTGCATGCAATGCATCTTTGAATAATTGCGTCATATGAGGAGTGGTACTTGCATCATCGTAGGTCTGGAAGCGCTCAATGTCTCTTTCGGTGCCACGTGGACGTGTATCACCTCTTTGAAAAGGATCGTTCCTGCGAATCTCCGCAACTTGTACTGCATGGAGGCAGTTTTTGCACAGCACCTTCCTGCAAACATCTCTTGCTTGCTTGAGCTGGTAACAGCTGTCTGAGAGATGGTAGACTTCGCTTCGGGAAGTATGCCAGATAGGTCGCAGATCAGTTGTTTCTCCGGAATTGACCCTGTTGGGTCCTAAAGGTTCACGCGTCTGCGGTTCATCCTCGGGTTCGAGGAATGGAACTCTTTGGTTCGCTGCTGCTTTTGATTTTGGTTGTTGGCGCTCCATACATCTGATAGGAGGCCTGGTAATCTGCTTCCACATCCAGTGTAAGCCCATTAGCAGCAGAAACACATTCCACGCGATGCTGAAGACGGAGAAGTCCTGCTCACTGGTTAGTGAGTTTGGAAGTGAAGTTTCATCAGTCTTGATAGACTCTGCGTTCGCTCCACCTTGGTTGCGGTGTCCGAACCAGCCCGACAACCCCGCTGCTGTAGCAGCTGTTCTGAGTGCCTTGCCGCTCGGAGCAGACGGTGGACGCGATGCCTTCCTTCTTCTTCTCCGGCTGGAGGATTCGTCCTCTTGTTCCTCTTCATCTCTCTGAGCAGACATCAAGTTTGATGTTTCTCTTTCGTGTTCTTCGATGTCACTTTTTGTTGGTGACGGTTCTTCTTCTAGTCCATCCAGCTCTTCCAAAGACATGTTGAGCTTGTCAACAATATTGGTTCTTTGAGGCCTGGACCTTGATCTTGGTAGATCTTGTTGTGAAGAGGACGATGATTCCTGGTTCCTTCTTGGAGGAGGACCTTCAGGCTCGCTGGGACGTTCAGGCTGTGGCCATTCCCAGAATCTTCCGTATCTGTGATGGCTACCTGATGGTTGCGATCTGTCGTACCAGCTGTTGCCGGATGAGTAAACGAATGAATCTTTGTAACCCCAGTATTCAGCATTACGCTGCTTGAAAGCCTTTCGCTTGTCAGCGATCTTCTTAACCTGGGCATCTGACCGGTTGTGTTTCCCTTTTGTAAGGATTGGTTGTATCGTGAAGCCCAAAGGGCTGTGCCAATCTTTGTCAGAGGGACTCAACCATAGGTCAAGGTTAGAAAAAGTTGAATAGTACTGCTTGACTGAGACAAACAGACGGATATCAATATCCCTGTTATTGTTCATGTCCTGCCACATATCTGAGATTCGCTCCCAGTATGTTCTTTCGGCGGCAGGTGTAACATCTCTTGGACTAGGTGACGCCGTGTGCGGCGTTTTACTCCAGTCAAGGATATAACTGTTGATACAGTCAAGGTCAGCAGCTTTCTTCGCCGGGTCCGCCGGTAGACGATCTGCACGTGCCAGTCTGTGCTGGTCGGAGTTGTTCAAGCAAAGATGTCGCACTTGTGAGTGCCTTCCTGCTATTTTGTTGAATTCTGCAAGTTTCTTCTCCAGGTATAGAGAAAACAAACTGTTTCGCGGGTGAACGTCTCCACCTTTTAAGGTGAGCCTCGACGCAATATTATTGAGATCACCCGCTATTACATCCGGTTTAAAAGGGAGAATCTCGTTGAGGAACGCGTTCACCAGTTCGCGTCTCTGTTCTTCCTTATGAGTAATGTATGAGTTGAAATGGACGATCGCGATGGTGATGACCTTGTAAGGCCCTTTTGTACACCACATCTCGTCAAGATCGTTCGATGCTTCTTGTGAGAAGATCTCTGCGTATGACTCAAAGTCTTCCTCTGGTGGCTCATCACCCTCTACATGGCCGTTCCATTCACAGAGAACCGGCGAGGGGTCGAGGTTCGACAGTGTCAGGCACGCCTCTGGTGAGAGGTAAGAGCCATCAGTGGGTCCATCCTTGTCAGGATTTTTTGCCCTTGAGTGGGTCATATCCGATAATCTGCATGAACTCGTCTCTCGTCATCCTTTGGCCAGAATATGGGTGGACCCATTCTTTTGCCTCCTGGATGGTACTGTGGTACCCAAAGGTGAGGCGGCATACCGCACCGTGGCATGCCCACAGTCGCTTCTTGGGACCACCATTCTTAGGCTTCATTGTTCGATGACGGTAAAAGTGGTTGACGAGAGCGATGTCTGTTGTTGGGTCACCCTTGACTCCAATATACAT